AACAATAATAACAATAAAGCAAATAATAATAACAAAAAAAAAGAAAATAACAATTATAACAACAATTATAATAATAACAACAACAACAACAACAATAATAATAATAATAATAATAATAATAATAATAATAATAATAATAATAATAATAATAATAATAATAATAATAATAATAATAATAATAATAATATAATGATAATGATAATGATAATAATAATGACAATGATAATAATAATGACAATGATAATAATAATGACAATGATGATAATAATGACAATGATAATAATAATGACAATAATGATAATGATGATGACATAAACAATATAAAAAATGGTGAGAAAACAAATCATAATCATGATGAATGCAATCAAACAATTAACATTAATAATAATGTTAATAACAAAAAAACATCAGCCATGGAAGTACACCTATTACACAAACTAATTTAGCTTAATCACAAAGAACAAATCAATCTCATCATCTTGGAAAACAGTAATCAAAAGCTAATATTATTGTGCCATTATAACAGTAGATCATCACTTAGTATGCCAATAAATTGATCTATAATTCTCTACAAAGAGGTTTGTAGTTTTTGATGTTCTTTTCCTGCAGACAACTTTGAATCAAACAAGCAAATAAGGATCCCTTTATTTATCACTAGCTCCCTATCACTATCTGTCATGACCAACTTTGGGCAAAGATCATAAAAAGGCCCTTTCTATAACCATTACTAAAGGGGGAAGAGGGGGGGGAGGAAGAAATTAGTGTACAACACACACAGTTAAGCTTGATTTCTTTGTTAAAAGGAAGCTGGCAGGAATCAGATACTGTTTTTGTAGAGTTGTGAGGCAGGTAGAGAAGCTAAAGGAAAAAAAAAAAAAACATTCTGCTCATCTTATACCTCTGTACTTGCTGGACAGTGGGCCATACGAATGCTCGTCCACCAGGGACCAAAAGAGGCTTTTTGTGGCAACATCCTGTAACATAAACACACATCTGTCATTTTCCCATACTACTGGAAGGGTGTCAATGTGACAGTTGTGTATATAAATGCTGCAGGAACTCCCACATCTTAACACAGAAGAAAAAAGCCACATAGAACTCTTATAGAAGTTTCCTTTCCCTGTAGCACACCACTGTACTGTATGTACATTACATCCACACATGGTGTTCCATATACAATAGGTGGAAAGACAACTGAGATCTATATAACAATCCTCTGGGAAGAAGAAGAAAAGAGTTGAAGTCACACCTTCCTCCAAATTCTGTTGATGTTACTGTAAAGGGTAACATTAACTTGAAGAACTGCTAATGTCCACACATTCAGAAACACCCTTCCCAAATCATTATACAGAACTGCAGGATATGTTTCTTATAAGATATTTTAGGAAAACAGGAGAAAGTGCAAGAACAATTGAAGATAAAGAGGAATAAGAGACAGCAGGAGATGAACAGAAAACATAATAGTCTACTACTTTCAGTTTCAAAGGCACAATAGAAATAATGGATAGTGAAGATGACAACAAACTTAAAACAAACAAAAAACAAAAAGTCATAAATAAAAAATTAATATCTTTTACCATTTTAACATAAATATTACAAAGGTAAACCATGTACAATATATTCTTACAAGATGTCAGCCTGAAGTTGATTTACTCATTTATAGTCTTTTAAAATAGAGATAAATCCCCAGAAACTTTTTACTTGCACACATACATAATCAAGTAAACATCTCTAACTCTTCTTAATAATTACAGAAAGAATAAAACCTGTTGTACCCTAACAAAACTGCTATGTGAGCTCATGACTAACTTATAACCCTCAATCTATACATCCCTTCTTCCTTCGTTATGGCAATCACTATGCTTCACTGGTTCCTTTCTGGCAATCACCACCTATCTAACAGCTGCCTTTGTGAAATGTCTTTCAACAATGAGTACAAAATACCAATCAGCCATACAAAGAAATTATTCAGCTCAGGGTTCACATACTGCTTTATCATTCCAATATGCATACTTAAAGTTGGTAAAATCAAACTTTAACATATAAAGGAACTTATTCTGATCAAATACCATTCATAACAGCTACACTCTTCTGCATTTGTTAAAGTTTATAATATGCTTTGACAGTTAAAAGAATTTTAATGCATATAAATCAATCATATCATAAATATATCTATCCCTATTTACATAAACATACAAAACAGGCAGACTCAACAATCCTTTCAAAATCACACACACTATAGTAAGTTGTGTCTTGGCAAAGACAACTAAATAGGAGAAGGGATTACAATATCTTCTCAAATAAATTATCACCATTAATTATAGACCTATACTTTATCATTGCATTATGACTCTCTGCACTTGCTTAAATGGTGCAAGTGTGAATCATTATTCCATGTGTTTTCTTGTACATAACCCTGTTACTGCTGATAATGACTTTCTAAATCATATCACACTTTACATCTGCTTATGGGACAAAAAGAGGTTTCAGGTTTAAGAAGAGAAAATCAAATCTAATAATAAAAATAATAAATTAACAAAAGAGGTTCCTGTGTGAGTCCCTGTTATGGCTGCAATTCTCAATCAAACAATGAATGAGGTGGAGCCCAGAAAGGACAGAGAGCCTCAAATTTGTAAGATGAGCTCTCCTGAAGCTAGCAACAGGCAGCACTTTTGTGTTAACTTAGTATCCTAGCAGTAATAAAAAGCAATGTGTTAGGATTTTGAAAGGTAATCCAAACTTTCAAGCTTGATATGAATTTATAAAAAGAAACCATGAAAGAACAAGAACAAAAATAATTTTATTCTAAAAAAAAAACTAATGTGGAACCCCAGATTTGATTATGAAATTGGATCTTCCTTTCCCAACAAGCCAGCTTGTTATTTTTTGGGAGGGTTTCATTAGTGATGGCAAAAATTGAAATTACAACCATCAACTAGCATGATTAGTGCACATTCCAGTCTAGTAATGTCCCCTGCTGAGAAGCATGGGAAGTAAAACAAAGGGAAACTGTAAGATAGCAGAGACAAAATGACTCAAGCCACACAGAGGATACACAGTAATCTTAATGCCTTCTAGCTGGTGCCTAGTGGACAAGACTAAGGTCTGTCTAGTGCAGCTACAACCAAAGAAAAAGCCAGCAAGAAAACATTCTAATACTAAGACATAAAAGATTTAAATAATGAAGGAAAGAAAAAAACATAGGCAAAGCACTATATTACAGTCATTTGGTGTGCTAAACCAGGTGAAACTCCATAGAGAATCTGTACAAGGATCCAGTCCCTTGTGTAATTCATAGATCTAAAACATCACAGTACCACACAATTCCAATCTTCACATACCACAGAATAGTTGGCAACAGGTAAAGCCACATGAATCAATTTTGTTCTCATACCCCCCAAAATACACTTTGTATGCTCACGCCACATATCAAAAATTGTATTGAGAACTACACGTATATAAATGCCTTGATCACAGACTCTCCTATTTGGCCCACTAGGACTATAGGTTTACCAATAATACCTTTGCATCATTTGTATACATGGCCATACAAATCCACGTCCTCCCACTACCGTCAGAGGTTTCCCTTGGTAACAACATCCTGCAAACAGGCATTTCATGAGGTGACAGTGGACATCAACTAAAATCTGTGTATGAAAATACATGCAGTTGCTTTCCCTGAAAAAAGGTACACTTATAATTTCAACACACTAGTGCTCAATTCAAAATATCTAAATAAAAGAAGAATATAATTTTTTTTTTTTTTTTTACCAAAGGATGAACATTTATACTAAGTGATGTATCGAGTTAAAAAATGAATAACCTATTTAACCTGTTCTGTAAAAAAAGAAAGAAAAAAGAAAAAAAAAATAAATAATAAAAAAAAAAAAAAAATAAATATATATATATATATATATATATATATATATATATATATATATATATATATATATATATATAAACGATGATAATAATAATGATAATATGCAATCTGACAGTAAAACTTCTGCATCATGATAACAAAATGCTAGTTATTCACCTTTCAAAAATTGCAATCATAGCATTCCTATAAAGAGGAACGTGCATTCTTACCTTATTCCATTCATAAAGTATAAATTGATATGTGGAAAGACTGAACACAAAATCATCAAAAGGCCACTAGGAAAAAAATCTGTAATTCAAATAAATATTACTCATCGCATTCACAATAATATCAACAGTGCATACCATGATACCAAATTCTGGTAAGATTCATATATACCCTTTACTCAGTTTGAACTAATACAGTTTATTAATGGGAAAAGGGAAAAAAACATCAGGTTATATATAAGCAACTGCAAGGCAACAATTGTTCAGTTAGTCAATTTTACTTAATTGATAAAGATAATCATTTGAAGTGAATGATGCAATTAAGCTATATAACAATTTTTCTTTAACAATAGCACTTACCCAAAAGTATTTTCTTCATTAAATATGCGAGTCCTTTCACCATCATGAAATTAATCTCATAGAATTATAAACATCTCCCCTTTATGAACTAATCAATAACTAAGGAAATCTGATACTATATAAGAGAGGGCAATACAATAATTAACCTTCTAACCTATTTATTTCATTTTCCAAGTCTCTCAATATCTAATACTAATTCTTAACTTGAATATCTACAAGGAAGTAAAGAAGATTCACTTGGAAACTTGAAACAGAATATGGATATCAACAAAATCAATGGAGCTTAAAATCCACTACGATTTGACCAAAAATAACTTTTTAGGAATATTCCCAAGGAAAAACCCAACTTCCTGTCAAGTCATTTCCTCTGTCAGTGTTTGAGTAAGCTATTCTCAGGGTTAAACTTCCTTTGTTATAAATCCATTATCTGCAAATTACTACAGGGTATTCATTTACAAATTGATCTAAAAAAAATCTACTTGGTCAAACACCACTTCAATATGGTCTATTTTGGTAATTCTTTATAGTACAGACATACTCACCAGAAACTAAGTCTCCAACTCCACATCACAAAATTTAGTTAACAATCTAAATTACCATGACTGGGCATGAACTTCAGGCACTGCCCGAGGGGAGGATTGATGGTGGGGTCTGGCAAACATTGCCTTCAGGTTGGTATGCACAGAGTGGACTTAGGCAGTGAGCAGTGCTTTCTGCAATCTTTATCATTTATTTGTTGTGTTACCATTCTTGTCTGCAGATTATTTCTTGTACTGACAACCAAACCTTTTTGTTTTCTACAAGAATATCATCTTCAATTTTCCCTAGATTGATACTTCCATACTGTAAAGATTAACCATTTCCATGGTTTTCCTACTTTCTTTAAACACCCAAACACAGGTCTTTCTATACTGATTCATTAACCATTTCCTCTATTTATTTGTCTAGTTATAATATAAAAACCTAAGGAACACAGCTTATGTATATCTTATCTCCAAAGAATTATACTTGTATCATGCTAATGACAATAACAGCACACTATACACCAATCTAAAATATACAAAATGGTTTCACAATCATTGTCAATCTGCATTAGAGAATATGGTGACTGATTGGGTAATGTGATTACAGGAGAGTTTGAGAATTCTGCACTGCACAAGTGCTACCGGAACTACAAGAAAAATAGTTAATAGACATCGCATTACGATACCATAAACATAGCCTATTTACTAATTCAGTGTGTAGTTTTTTCTTCTCTCTGTGTCCTTAGATTTTCCCTATCTTAGTGTGGTTATTATGCAAATATATACACAAATATGATTATTTTTCATCAGTTTAGTCTTGATATGCTATTCATGTAAAAATTTTGTTTACCATGAGTTTTCAAGTTCATCAACAGAACCAAAGCATCAACTGTTAAGGAAAAACCTGCCCTCACCTTCAAGGAAATATGCTTGAAGAATTTGTTAAGTTCTTCCTAGTCTGACCTGGTCTGTCTTCTGCTTCGTATTAAACATTACAAGAAGGTAATGTAAGTGAGATGAGAATCTTTGGATACTGCTATTCTTCTACCTTCCTGTTGCAAATCCCATTGGATAGTCACAAGTAAATAAAAATGACTGATCTACCTTGCTTTTCTACTACTTTCTGGAGGTTATATTACCTCTGGGTCATGAGAAGGAGATAGCTCTCAAAATGCACCATTAAAGTGTGATATACAACATAAAACTGTATTATTTTTTTACACAAGTCATGCTTAACACATACTTTTCAGTTAATTTTCCAAAAATGACAATCGGGTCTTCCCTGACAATATTTTTATCATCAGATTTGTTCTCGTGTGATGAGAATGAATCTGATGATATTCTCCGTCGGATTCTCCAGCGGACAATCTTGATGTGATTTGATAAGTCCCGATAGCAGGGGAGGGCATGAAGTAGAGCAGGGAAATTACGGGGTAAAACAGGCTGAAATAAGCAAAATAAGAGAACAGAAATGTGTAAAACAAGCACAAAAATCGCTTAAAATCGGCTAATGAAACCCCACGGACATCGCCGCCATCTTTGAAAGTCTACGGACCAACGCGCCAATTTTCGAAAAACTCCACGGGAACCAAACCCATCGTTCGGTAAAAATCTACGGGATTTCACATAATCCAGATCCCCGGTGGTAATCGTACAATGCGCCCTAACCAATAAACCAACCTAACCTAACCCTGTGAGATTTATACACAACGATCTATATATTCCCTAGTCAGGGGGCCTGGACCTCCGTGGTATTGAATGCGCCTAGCCAGGGGGCTACGCCCTCTGGACCCCCGTGGTAATATATATGCCTAGCCAGGGGGCTACGCCCCCTAAACCCCCGTGGCTTTAGGAAAATACGATCTATATGTTACCTAGCCCCCCCGGATCCCCAGGGTTAAACCACATACCTTTATATAGCGAAAATAAAACTTTACGCTTGGTTTCTAAATACTTTTTTTGGCATTTGGGGCACTTGTTGGGCTCAAATATCGGGTTTTGATTGAAAATAATGTCTGTCTTTCATGTATATCCTTAATATGGCTTTAAAAATGACCCGACGTCGACGCAGCACTTGAAATGAAACATTTTTCACCGGCGTTTCTCGGCGAATGGCGGTAAAAACGCGCATACGCACAAGGTTATTATACAGAATAGCGTAAATAACTACCAAAAGACGTAAGAGAAGTATAATAAAACTAGAAGAATGCATTCCATACACGAATTCGGAGAAACAGACGCTAGTAATGACAAAATAAGCGTTCTCACAAGCGCGATACATGGACTACTCGATGGACCTTGAAAACGAAGGGTCGAGCTTCTCTCTTCTCTGTCCTGTATCTCCCTTATTTTAGATTTCCGCACCTTTTGCCATAGATGAAAAGTGTCTTAGTTTTCGTCAAGGTAACCACTTCATACACTTATTTTACTGTACGACTGGTTGACAGATACGAAAAGTTTTCCTACTTTACGACTGGTTGCCAGATACGAAAAGTTTTCCTACTATACAACTGGTAGCCAGATACGAAAAGACCGTTTTCGGACAATATGTGGTATAAGGTAGTGGCAGAGTGGGTAATAAAACCTACATGGAATGATAGAATTATACAAACCATGACAAAGTTCTTGTATGGCAATGTGTGTCCAAATGCTTCCCAAGGCTGCTATACATAAAAGAAGAGAGAAGATCCCCAATTTTGGCTAAGTTGCCCATCTTGTTTACATTGCGAGGGTGCATTCTAGACGCCTATACTACCACGGGGGTCTAGGTTACATAGCCCCCTGGCTAGGCATATATATTACCATGGGGATCCAAGGGGCAGAGCCCCCTACCTAGGGAACATATACCACGGTGTTAGGTTAGGTTGGATGTTGGATTAGGACAATTTGTTTAACAACCACGGGGGTCCTGTTTTACCCCATAATTTCCCTGATATACTACATGTCCTCCCCAGCTATCGGGACTATCAAATCAAGATTGTCGAAGATGGTGATCATATCTCCTCAACGATTCATTCGCAAAAGGAACAATGCTTAGAATCGTTGAAAGCAGTGGATTTCATGCAGAAAATTATCAAAATTGTTTCGAAAGTAACCTACTACCCTCTTCTACATAGTGACCGGGAATCTTCCCTTTTCTTTTATGTATAGCCTTGGAAAGCATTTGCACACATATTGCCATACAAGAACTTTGTCTTGGTTTGTATTGTTCTATCATTTCATGGAGGTTTTATTACCCAGCTCTGCCACTACCTTATACTACATATTGACCTAAGCAACATATGTTTTCATCCCTTTCATGACCGATAAAAGAGGGCGGGGTTCCCTGTCTCTGGAATGAGTCACTTGGTAATGTTTGGTCAGGTTAGGTTAAATTATTACGGCCTGATGTTGTATTATTCTGTATATTATTCCACACTTCTAAATAGTGATATTTCAGTTTGCTTGGCACAGATTAACGTATTACAGAATTTGTACCATAAGTAGATTATCACTAATACAAAGATGTGGGTGTGTCAGTGAAGCTTTCTTAGTCCTATATAAAAAAACAAACTTTTAAACTCTAAAATACTATATATATAATTAACATTAAACATATAACACACAGTTAACCTCTAATAACGGTTACTTCACACAGCTTTTGGAGGGTATAAATGTGTATGAATATTACCTGCCACACCATCTTCAAAAGAGCCACTTCGCAAGGATCCCTCCACGCCCGCCCACAACGCGCGACGCCCACAGAGCCTGTCTTTTAGGTCTAATTAATCCGTGCGACCTCCTTGGGCATGGAAGGACCTGCGTTACTCGATTCCATTTAACGAGACGAGAGCTCAGCGTTTCATTAATGAATTACCCTAGGATCTGTTTATTGGGTCCCTCTGAAGGGTCGTGGCACAGTGCCAGAGGAAGGATAGGATGCCAAAGGGTGCCAGCGCCTGTCATAGACGACGGAGCGGCGCCAACGCTGTCTACTCCCCACGCCCCTACATTCCATGAACTCAATTCACTCTCCTATCTCTTGCCCTCTCTTATCCATACTTGTCCCATATATTCTAGGGTAACTGCTTAATCTTTAGGCGATATTCTCACCTGAAATGACCAAGGCCTCGTTGGGCCCGCAGGTCACAAAACCCCACACCATGATCACGTCCTCCTCCTTCGGCGTCTCAAGAGCGTCTGCTTCGATTCGAGGTATAGACGGCTAAACCATACAAAGACGTCGATCGTCTGCAGCGCAGTGGAGGATTAGATTGCTTATACAATAGAATTGAATACCCTTTTGTAAAATCCACAACTCCTTTATAGATTTTTTTGTTTAATATGTTGTTATATAGTTATGTCTATGCGTAGTTTCTCTCCGCCCCTTCTCTATTCTATAAAACGATAAAATAACAAGTGTCTTATCGTTTATAAATTGCCCCATGTCGATGATGCAACTTAATTCATGGGTTTTCCACGTTTGGAATGAATCAGATGTGAGACTTGATTCCCATGACACTAAATATTCTAAAAATGGTTTATTTTGCTTAGCGAGTCGTACTGCTTGCAATGGCATTTATTGCGACACGTCATGGATGGAGGAAACTCGATCCTTTTTTAGTAATGATACATTCAGAATAGCCTGAGAAACGAAGGGACGTAAGCGATGCATTTTAAGTTTATGGTTCAATTTCATTTGTTTGATGTCCTTTCCCTTGTAACTCTCTCTCTCTCTCTCTCTCTCTCTCTCTCTCTCTCTCTCTCTCTCTCTCTCTCTCTCTCTCTCTCTCTCTCTCTCTCTCTCTCTCTCTCTCTCTCCTTCTCCTTCTCCTTCTCCTTCTCCTTCTCCTTCTCCCTCTCCCTCTCCCTCTCCCTCTCCCTCTCTCTCTCTCTCTCTCTCTCTTGTGTATGGAAGATGTACAAATTCAACATATATACACAACTATATTGCTGCGTATGGAATGCAGGAACTGGTAATCCTCACAATTTGTTTTGAGATACCATCAAGAAATATCCTTTACTGTAACAAAAGTTTAGTTTGCGTA